AAAATTACCCATATTGGCAAAAGTGATGACTTTAATGTACATATGAGTCTTCATATGAAGAAAGTTCTTTGGTGGTCGAATGAGCCAGACGCAATCGTAGGTTTTGACCCCTTGATTGACCATATCCATCATGGTGATGGTTCCCCCCAGATTTTCGACATATCCACCGCAATCGGTGATTGGTTGAACTGAATTCTCATACAAATGGCCAATAACGTACGAATAAAAGGCTTTGTATCCAAGCCCAGTGCCTCCATTGGCATAAAATCTTATCAGCAATGACGGGCCAGAGCTAACGATTATTGGCGGTCGAAATCTGGCTCCACTGCTGACATCCAATCTCTGGCCATTCCAATCGTAGAACTGCAATACGGAAATACATTGGAATAGGTACACGAGGTGAATATAATATTATCATTTCACCTCGATTATAGAGACCGTTGCCAATTGAAAGTCACTAAAGAGCACTCGAACTCTGCATGAAGGGGATTGAGATGGGCACGTGATAACGTACTCCAGGCCCAAGTCCCTGGGATATCTTGACGGGAAAAAAGGAGATGTGAGGATACCACCTATTGTTTCATTATTACTCTTGGATAATTTGCTGTCTGAACCCTTCAAATGCACTCGATTCCCTAGGGAAAAACATTTTCCTTCATCACAAAAATCATTTTTAACCGCTAAAGGGTAAACGGGGTAATATCTCTCAAACTATTAAACATACAGAAATTTTTGTTATTACATTTTTTGCAGGTCTCATTACGCTCTGCAATAATGGTCTTATCGAAAATTTCGATATATCCATCAGGTCCAGAGATATTCGCCTGATAGTCATGGGTGTGGAGACTACTACTGATTTTTTTACTCTTTTATGGTACTTTTTGCCATTTACTCACTCTCTGCGACGTATTCAAGTACGAAGGCGTTTTTGTGAGACTGGGAATGGAGAAAAGTAATGGATACAGTTCTCGTACTTGACCTGTACACAATGGGTGTGTAAAGGCCGCAAAAAGATGTCCCTGATATATCGTCGTAAGGCGGTTCTGATATCCACACGTAATCACATCTGCGATTACAATTATTGTGAGTATGATCGATGGGATTTCAGTAGTAAAGTCATAATAATCCATAATCGATAATCGATTATTACCATTCTTATAAATATCGATCGATTAAAAAAACTATTGATTTTACGAAAAAAGATGTTTTGTTGGAAACTTAAATGTAATAAAGTTTTTTAATATTTATACTTTAGAGCTCTCGAGATAATCAATAATTAAGATTAAAAAATTAATAATTCAATATTTTTAATTTGGAAATTATTAAATTATTATAATTCAGTAGAGAAGTGACAAAACAAAATAAATCGCTTTCGACTATTGAACAGTTTTTCGTCAATATCTCATAATCTAAGGGAAATAGCAAGATCTTTATTATAACATTTTTTGTGGCGATAATTTAGATCTACAATAAATGTAATTACAAAAAATCCGCTATCTCCTTTAGATTCGGAGATATCGTTGAAAAACTAGTGTCCGACACAAGTCGACCTTTACCACTTCGTCACGGAATTTTTTCTCCTCGTAATTCTCACCTGCAAGGACTATCCATGACAACTCCCATATCATTGCAAGAGTTGGGTAAATTCAGGCTCTTGAATGTAACAACAATGGCACATGATGGGCATGTAACGAGTTCCAGGCTGCACTGCTCATGTGAATTATTTGCCATGTACTGTCGCATTTCCCCTTGGAGTTTTCCCGAATTCCTGACGTACGACGTGTTCTTGGCATATAGAAGACCCTGCTCTCCAAGTTCCAGGTACAGACGTCGTCCATTGTGATGACCACAGATATCCTCGTTCCTCACAACATCGCAATTCACAACAATCAGGATCCAACAAGTCACGATGACACTTTGCCTCACGAATTCTTCCATCTTAAATTATAAAAATCGAGAATTATGACACTCAGAAATTATAACTCCAGTGCAATGAACCAGGAAGTAATGACGTTTTTTTTTTTGATTAATCATACCATTTTGCTGGGTTTCAGGCGAAGACAACAGTTTCATCTGCTCTTTGGGGGAAACCTACAATGACCTCCAGCATAATGTTATTAGTGTCGCCATTACGTCTTCCTCTGCTGTAATGCACTGCTACATTTTTATGGCATCTTCTGCACGTGCCGTTTATTCAACAGCAAAATCGTTTGAAAAACCAGTGAAAATTGTTTAAAGAATAGTTTAAAAATTGAAAAAAATATGCAATTTTCAAATTAAATAGTCTCTCAATACAAGTATATTTATAACTATAATAAAAATATCGATTAAAGGAATTAGTTGATTACCGTTCTTTCCTCATTAAATGATTACAGAATATATATAATTATGTTATTGATTTTTTAAAACACGAATTGTTCATGAAAAAATTCTTGCAAATTCATTTCCAATTTAATTGTTATTAATTTTGTTATTTTTAATGGATTGATGGTGCACATGGAATTAAATTTAGAATTCAAAATTTCCAACACAATGATTATATTTTTTTTATTGCAAGTTCGTTAAAGAAATACATTTATATACATAAAAAATGTGTTGCCACAATAATGATAATATAATAATAATAGTGATATTCAACATAACGTAGACGTAACTGTATTATTTAGCATGTTCATATCCATTTTAGACCCTATATTATAATTCAATTAATCGTATGTATCGTGATACCATATAATATGTAGTACTTTTATGAAATATATAGGAATGTCATCAGCTCTTCTCCAATAATTTCTCGCCGACACGAATAATCATCTCACATTAGTGTCTGACACCCGTGAAATAACAGCAAACATTTATCATAAAAAAAAAAAAAACAAAACAGCGAAAGTGAATTTCCACTTGTCGAATAAAATAATCATGATTCGTAGGCCTAGCTCCTTAGGACACACCCAAAACACAGCCTAGAATGTATGATATACGGTTGTTTATGTTGCCGGATAATTTATATGAGTGATTTTTCACAAATTATAATTTTCCCTCATTTAAAATGTCTTATCACTTTGCGGTGAACAAATGCTAGGCAAACGCAGGCGATTAACGGAATAGATGATTGAGTACAGACAGTTTGAGGGATAAAGCTTCCATTGAAATTTTCTAGTGACTTAGCGTAAACATGAGACCATTGAATTTTATTAGTCTATCCTAGACCAGTTAGCATTTGTCAATGCTATTTTTTATTGACAGCACATTTAGTACGAGTGATTGCGTTGATTTTAATGTGATGAACATATTGGGACGATATTTTTTAACTCCGATGTCACAATTTAAAAAAAGAAAATTTATCTTGCGAGAAATCATCCATATATTATTAACTCGTTATCATTAATTTTTTTTTTTGTCCGATATAAACATCTCTATTGCGGTAGTTCGTGAGTTGTGATAATATTGCAATATAATCGAGAGGCAATACATTTCAACATCGCTTTAAATTTCATTCACGTTTTATATATTATTCAATTGATCTGTCAGTTGATCAGCTCAAACGCTCAGGCTAGACATACAATATATATTGAACATTCTTTTCCTTCGGTCATACATGTCAATGGAGATATTCAATATACAATGCTTTTTAAAAGTGAAGAGGAGAGATTATTCACCTCATCGTAAAAAAATTGTCTTAATATCTCGAGAACAAGAATTGATTTACATTAGTTGTATCACTTTTGAAAAATAGTCTTTCATTGTTCTACCGTTGGCTAACGCAACATCAATGACTACATCACATTATTATTCTCAAGATATTATTCTCAAAATTATAAAAAAAAAAAAGATAAAATTCTCCTAGCCCTTTCGTTCCCCACGATCGCATTTACAATTACGAAATTATTTTCACAGATCGAACTCGTGCAATCGCAGTGGACACTCAATATTCTCTCGCATACACTAGGCGTCCCCATTTTTTAATCCAGAATATATAAATTGGGACACCTCGTGCGTATGGCTGTAAAACTCTTAAATCCTTCCTTTCTTGTAACATTTATATCATCTGTATTTTCGTAAAATGCAAGACACAAAAATAAATGCTCATATTTCAATTACCATGTTTATTTACTCCGCGTCGTACGTGACGGTCTAACGTTATATCATATCAACAATTCAATTAGAAATTTCTTTTTTCCAATTTTTTTTTTTCTTTTTAGCTTTCTTTTATACAAAGTACGTATCACAAAATTCCACCAGCCTTTGCAAGGAGGATAAACTTAAGATGATTCCATGCGGAAATTATTAATCCAGTACAATGAATTATGGTCTGACCATAATTGTCTCATTGTTTTCAATCTAATAATCAAATATATAAATGAAGATGAAATTGTCTGTCATTAAAATATCACGAAATCTGCAATATCAGCACTTACATAACACTCGCAATATCTTCGATAGTATATTACGATAAATAATCCTGAGGATGTTTATCGGCCTGTCCAGCCCAGTCGAATAACGATGGGACAGAGAAAAATTGACATCAGAATAATTAATTAGAACTAATTAAACTGATTTTATCTCATTCGTTATCTTCATCTCATTACAGTAGAATCCCGTTATAGTCTCTCGTTACAGTCACACCTCTCCTCAATTTTTTTTACATGTATATTAGTATTTGGGGGAGAGGGGGGGTCCCCCCCACTCTAATACCTCCGGGCTAAAATCCGTAAACAATGAATTATTCACTTCTCCCGGTGAGGAATTAAATTCCCGGCAAAATAAAGCCGAAAAATAAACTTCTCTCTTATTCGAATTTGGTATGAAGAAATTTAATTTCTTCCTCCGAATTCGCTTCCTCTACAGCCCCATGCGACTACAATGGGAGTCTACTGCATTTAAATCAGCAGTGAGTGTTAAAGCGAAATAACTCCGAATTTTCAATTCGGGAATTTCGATTTATTTGAGAAACCATTGATTTTAGGGGAAAATATCAAGAGAATTTTTTTGTAGACAATTTAATTGCTTGAGAGAATGATTCTTGATGATTTTCGCCTCCAATCGATGGTTTTCGAGATAATTCGGTAATTAAGATGAGACACTTTATCTTGCTTCAACACTTCGCTTGGGTAATTAATTATTAGGCGCTGATAGACCTGTAAACACACTCGACATACACAACATTATGCGTTTGCTTCCTCAACATTAAGAGGGCACAGATAATAGCCGCCGTACAAAATGAGCGGCAATGAATTTTTCCAAACCCCAGGTTCAGTGGTGAACATATACAATAAATCTGACAAATTCAAAGCGAGTAACCAGCACTTCGCCAACAATACAATATAAGAACGAGAAGAAACGATAAAACCTATCTAAAGTTTTTTTTTTTTCTAACTCGAATTTACTGCCACTGTCAAGAATCTGACGAGTATCCAATGTGTTAAACATATGAAACACGAATTGAATTTTTCAACTGATGGAAACGAGAGGCTGATTAATACTCGACGAGAACATCGTAATCAGGACAAAAACAAAATTAAAATTCATCAAAATAAAACAACCAGAAAATTTCGTTGATCTATCCATTAACAGTGCATTTCCTCGTGAAATTACATGCTACATCATTACCCCAAAATATTCGTTGTGGTAAAATATTGAATGAAAAAATTTATAAAAACAAATCAGCAGTTCCTCCCAGCAGTCTGTCAATCACAATCTGCATTTTCAACATTATCAACTCGACAAAATATGTTCAAGCATCGCACTTCACAAGTGGGTAAAAATCTCAATTGTTAAATTTCCAAATATAATCCTCGAAGTTTTCAAAAACAATTGGTGTTTGGGGTAGGGGGGGATTAAAATCACTTTTTCAAATTCACGAATGTCCGTTTTTAAAGTGCGGCCCAGCCGCAACAAATATCGGCACAATTCCGTCGACATATCGAAAATGGAGGGCATCGAATATATCTATATAATAATAAGATCATTTTTTCGACTAATGCAGCCAAGTTGCATTGTTGTGAAGAGTGTGCGTAGATAATTTTCTCCTGTGTAACAATCAGGATTCAGTGAGAGTCTCGAATCAATTCTGATTCATTTGGCCTCGTCCTCGTCCATGGGCTCCTCAGAAACTTCCCGGGAATGTTCTGGAGTGCTTGTCAAATTTTTTGGCTGCTGCATGGACAAGGAAGCCATAGCTGACACTGTATCAGTTTCGTCGTGCTCCTTTTGACTAGCTTGCAGTGCACTCGTGGCAACAGTGTGAGCAGCTAGTTTGACACATGGCCAGTGAGACATCTGAATGGCTATTGTTTTCTGGAGAGTATCAACAGCATTCTGGCATGGCACTCTGGTGAGCTCTTCCTCCTTTATGGGAGACGTCTCGTCCCCCAGTAAAGCACGAACACACTCCTGAGCTGAATCACAAATGGCAGCCAAATCATATCCACCCTCTAGTGCAAGCACCACTCGTCCATTGGCAAGTTCCAGAAGTTGCTGTGTCATTCTCCCAAAACACGCTGGACTCACTCTGTAACCACCCAGTGGTGCTGGATGTCCAATAGCAGCATCGAAACCAGCAGATACGATGACAATATCCGGATTGAATTCCTTTCCAATTGGCATGACAATTGTTCGAAACGCTGCGAGATATTCGGCATCACCCATCGGCGGATTGAGCCCCCCAGACCAGGAGATATTCACATTGTAACCAAGACCATCACCAACACCGCATTCCGTTGATCCACCAGTTCCTGGAAAAAAATTTCCATCGTCGTGTCGGTGGATCGACAGATAGAGAATACGTGGATCGTCGTAGAACATCTGCTGGGTACCATTCCCATGGTGGACGTCCCAATCGACGATGAGAATTCTTCTGGTATTCATTTTTTGTTGGAGTAATTTGGCGGCAATAGCGACGGAATTGAAGAAGCAGAAACCCATCGCTTGATTGGTCTCGGCGTGGTGTCCTGGAGGCCTAACAACAGCGAAACCATTTTTTATATCACCCATTGTTGTCTTGAAGGCTAGATCAACCACACAACCAACTGCCATTCGAGCTGCTGGGGCTGTGTGCAGCTCGTTCCACGTTGTATCCGAATCCACACCTACTCCACCACATGGCAGTCGAACAAAACTCTTGATCGGCAATTGAGAAAGCTTTGACATATCCAACTTCTGACGGTTCAGGGGATTTGTACCTGGAATGCAGCAATTGTACCTTCTGTAATTTGGTAATTTAATTTAAAACCGCAATTTAATGAAAAAAAAACAAACATGTCAGAGAAATTATTTTACCGAAGAGAAGTGCGTGAGCCTCGCTGTGACATGACTGAATCTCTTCGAGTGTAGCTTTACGAGACCTTATGCGATCACACCTCTGGAGTAGTCCAGTCTCTGAGAGTCTTGCCCATACACTCTGCAGTCTTCCACCGTGTTCAGGATGTCCCCTCACAGTTTCACCGCAGACACATGCGTGCTTAAGCATCAAGGGATCATACGCAAGACCAGTTGTTGGACGATGTGGTGATCCATGGGTGAACACATCAGCACTGGCTACCTGAGGTCCCAAGTGGACAAGAGGACTCGACAAAGCTCTTGACAAAGGTCTACCCAGGTGTGCAGCACCAACGCTACCACCACCTCCACGATTCCCCACGTAACTCGACGTCTCATTTATTTGAAGAGTATGACGCATCATGAGATCCCTCTGCTGCTGTAAAAATTGTTCCCGATCCTTCTGCTGCTTGGATATCTCACTCTCCTCAGACAGCATCTCCTTTTTCCCCGTTAAATCAATCACCTCAGACTCTTCACTCTCTGCTGCCTCGTCGAGCTGATTAGCCTGACCACTGCGTGATCCAACTCTAGTGAGAACAGTCTGACGAATCTGTTGTTTCAGATAATTATGGGCTTGCTGCTGCTCGTGGAGCTGTTTCTCGGTGAGATATTCCTCGTAGTGAGTCGGTGGTGCCATTATACTCCCCTGGAGCATCGGATGACCCAGTGGAAGTGGTGCTGATTGCGTTCTACCTGGAGATTAAAAAACTCATGAAATTTACGCCAATTTATTCTAACAGCAAATGTATAGGCATTATGCAGTTGGAGATATTTGAACATTTGGAATATCTTCAGTTGCAATTATACAACATGTTGCATCGTCGAGATAAATAATTTCAGTGAACATACTACCTAAAGGCCGGTGACCAGCCTTATGCAGTCTGGCGTGAGCTACTTGAGTATCGGTTATGGGAGTACTGTGATAAACAAGATGTTGTCGTGAGCCCTGTTGCTCCAAGCTCTGCATCTGCTTGTGAATGTACGCTGAATCACCCTCTATCACTGTCAGGGATGGGTAGAAGGGCAGGGTACCAGGTAGCATTTGATCTGTCAGAGGCATTCCTAGACGTGCCGTACGTGCTGCACGCACTTCAGCTTCTGATACTGGTGTCAATTTTGTTCCACTCTGAAAGAATTTATTTTACACAGTCAACGCACTTCAATATCTCCATCTATTATAATAAGAATAAAAAATACATTTAGTTATAAAAAAATAGTAAAATAGCAAGAAAATCTTTTTCTCGTATTTCAGTAATTTTTTTTATTGCGCAGAACTCTTAATTGTTTATGTTAGGGCATTTACCGATAATGAATTGGACTGCACGTGTGGTCTACCCAAGGATATATTCGGCATGGACGGTGAGCTGAATAGTGAGAGATCGGATAAACTCCCCTGCTGACTGCTACTTGTCAATGGACCTCCGTACTGAGTATTTTCATTCTCCTAGTGAGCAGAAAGGTTTTATTTTATTTATAAATATTTAACAATAATTGAAGATTCAGGATTCGTCTTACCTCTTGAATTGGTGTATTGCTTCCAGCAGTTGGACTTGACTGAGGATTGTTACCAGTCGGTGGAGAGTTGGGTCCAGACTCAGGATTGCTCACCGAATCTGATCATCAAACAATCATCAATTTTCTCTGCTCGACTGTATTTCTCATCCACGTATAACATGTTGATAATTAAGAATTTATCTTTCTTTCGTTAAAGAACAATCTCAACTTCGTCATCCGTACAGTGCCAGTAGATAAATAAATTTCGGAATTAATAAACGATTATGCCGGAACAAAATGTTTTAATGACTGAAAATAATAATGATAACTGAGAAATTTGAAGTTATTTCATGCAGTCCTGATTGGGTTAATGGAATAATCAAAATCTCATTGCGCACAAAATGGGAAATAAGCAAATCAGCAAAACCACATCCACAACAACAGCAACTTAAATCATTAAAAATAATAACAGCACATTCGATCCTATTGTAATAAAGATACTGGATGACTGGAACAGATTGGAATTTTTCTTCGTAATTTTTTCCAAATTCTCTTGATTAAAGACTAATCAAGATTGATTAAATAGCAAAATAATGGATGAAGTTGAAGTTTTCATAACAAAAAAAAATGTATTATCTTGCATTGGCTGGGAGAAGAATACTCTTGGTAGAAACATACTTGCTAATAGTGATTTCCGTTTGAGATGCGACAGTAGTCGATCCTTTCGTCGTGCCGTAAGCGGTGAATTTCTCGCAGCTGCCATATTCCTCTCGATGACGCGCTGCTTTAGTCGTACCTTGAGCAGGTTTGGCTCCGAGGCTGGCCAATTCAGCCGGGGTTAGTTATCATACCAGATAAAAAAAACGTATACAAACGAATACAAATTCTTTATGTCCAGCCGATACGAAGACTCGTTATCTCATCATACGCACTTCGTCTTGGCTCTACACGAAGATATTAAAAATAAACGCACACTGCATAAACGCATCGCCACAACTTGTCGCTGCATTCGTATACTCGCTGTACTCACGATTTGAATATTTTTATAATTGAAGAAATCGATTTATTGAATGGACTATTGGGAAGTTGTGGCGACACCAATTTCATGCTTTAGTAGGCAACTCTACTGACACAAGGAAACAGAAAAAAAAATGCTGAGGGCAATAATCCACTCGTGGAGAAATAACATTTCTGACAATGAAGTAGCAATTCTTGACAACTTCAATTACCTGTTTTTCTCAAAGGGAAATCATCACCAAATTTTTCCTGCAGCATTTGGGGCATGCGGTAGGGGTGTGTTGTATTTGATGTACTCGTTGCTTCTGACTGAGACTGCAGCCTGTGGATTTAAAAAAATTAATTGTTGGAGTTATTCCCGATATCTTCATGCTTTCAATTTTTTATTGGTTTACACACCAGCTCTTGTACCCTGGGGCTCCAGAGAGTCCACCATTAGCAGCGGCTGCAGCTTCTCTCTGTTTCTTATTAACGAGGAAACTCTAAATAAAAAAAGCAATTTCACATGAGTCTGTGCTGAAAAATTGCTGGGGATTTTGAGATTAGTTTCTGAGTACCTGAAGCCGCTGTTTAACTTCCGTGGAGGCAATGGCACTGTGATCGTGCTTGTCCTTCTTCCTGAGTGCCTCAAGTCTCTCTTTTTCCCTCATTTGTTCCTCCAGTTGCTTCTGTTGCTCCCACAACTAATCATAGAATAATTCAAATATTTCAAATAATCAGAATAATTCAAATATTTCTCCACAATTAAAATAGTATATCGAACAATTAATGTACCTTCAACTGGTGCATCTGTTGCTCATGCATTTCAGCTAGCTGACGCTCTTGAGCTTGATACTGCTGTCGTAGAATTTGCTGTTGAAGTTGATGATGCTGCTGTAGCTGGAACCAAACCCAGATACCTCAAGGTTACTGTTCTCTACCTTCCGTTATCAATTAATTGACTATCAAATTAATTGTCTCCATCTTCACTCAACAATACAAACATCTTTCAATATTTAAACAACCATAAATATATCAATTAATTTTTTTAACAATTAAAAATAATTTTCATTGAGGCTCTTATCATTTTAGATAGTCATTCTGAGATCTTAGGGAGATCTTTAATTGATATTACCAATTAAAATAAAAACATGTCTACAATACAAAAAATGAAATAGGTGGAGTGATAAATGCCCTTAATTATAGTAACATTACCTCAAGTATTTTCTGCTGTAGAGCATGTCCATGTAGAGTTTGCGCATCATTGGTTGAGCCATGATAAGCCCCAGAAGTTAAGGTAGCGGTTGCACCGCTGGTCACAAGGTCACGTGGTCGAGACATTGGTGAACCAGGGGTATCTCTCGCCATTTCTAAACACGTTTCACATGTTTACCAGTAAAGTACAGTTAACTTGTTTCAATGGATTATCGTAACCTCACTGGTTTCGCTAATTACCCCTCATTATCTTTCCTACATGCGCGAAATTACAAATGAAAAAAAAATGCTAATGGTAGCAGCAGAGACAACAATATTTTACGATATTTTCATGAAAAATCGTAAATTGTTCATTGAATGTAAATATTTTTAGTCAATTTATCAATGAAATCGTAGAAAAATTCTGTATGACATTCACGTTATTTTTATTCTGTCGAATGAGAGTCATTTTGCATAAAAAATCCTATTAATTTTTAATAAATTCTTTTTAAAATTGAATAAGTCTTTGGAATAACGCGTGCGCAGTTGGGTGATACCTATTCACAGCACCTGAGATATTATGATTCATCATAATATCGATTATACTGGGAATTGAGCGGAAATTTGCGAATATGCCGTGTACTACTGGTAAATTGGATTTTGATTGGTGTGATAAGATCTGTTGGCGTGATACACAGGCACTTTTGAAATATCCTCGATGTTTTTCCATTGAAAAGTGAATGATAAATAAGGAAAAGGACGATCCAACCATCTCCCACTATATCAATTACAGATTTTTTAATTTCATTAATAAAAAAAAATTTCTTATCTTATCAAATCGAATCCAAAAAAAAAGACCACAGAAAAAATAGGCAAATGTTCATTTTCTTTTGTCTACTTATCAAATCGTTGAATGAATATATTAATATTAAAATAAATATTGAAATATTGTAATGAAAATATAATAAAATAAGATAAAATAAAATATTGAAATGAATATTACTCTGAAATAAATTAATTCGCTGTGGTAATCGTTATGCAGTCAATTATGCAATCATGGGTAAATTCGGAAAAGCTTGATTAATTGCCAAAGGGAGGATTCCTCCCCTCGTCAGTAATATCTATAAATAACTCACCCTAAGAAACAAAAATTTCCCTTTTTTAATCAATAATTTTACCTTTTTGGGGCAGGTGGGAAAAAGCTGACGTGATTTCAATGTTCCGATAACCCAGGTCTTCTGAAACAAATTAAAATAATTGTGTAAAAACAGGTGATTACGTAAGTAATAATAAAATTATTATGTATCTAAATATTCCCCAGGAATATTTATTTAATTAGTAGCAATTGAATGTTAACAATCGCAGGTGCAATCTGTGATATTAAGCTAGTCCCTGTGATTATGACTTTTAATCAAGATTTAAGCTTTTTTATTTTTCTGACAAATTATTAATGAAATTGACGTAAAAAAATATTACATTCTCGCACTTAATTGTAATTATTTAATGGTTCATTAAATTTCATGAGCGTGGGATAATTCCCCCATGTTTTTTTTAAAGTTTCATGAATTGTTGAAAAGTGTAGGAAAATTATTGCACGATCAGGAAATTTTGGGAGTTATTAAATAATGATGAAATTTAATAATTAATAATTTGTAAAAAAAAAACCAAAAATCGATGACTTTGGGTGAAAGGAGCAGAACGTCCTGAAGATATTTCCGGAGGGAAATACAAACACAGACAAAAGAGGAGTCGGCATTATAATGAAATTACATCAATATTAAATCATCTACTGGGTTACTCGGAGGATCAAAATACCACGGGATGGAATCATTCTCATCTATCTCCTAAAATATTTTCTATGAGGGCAATGAACCGTCGCCGCAGGATAATTCGCAAAGAGAAATATCGAAGGTATTTTTCCATTCGATTCCACTCCACTCTATTCAACCCTCAATTTTCCAGTAACAAAATCATAAAATAAAATTAAACAAACTTTACAATTCAAATGAATAATTTTCCATATAAACTGGAAAATTTTCCGTCACTTAGGTAATTTATTCCTCTGAGGAAATAATTTCCGTCATAAATCCTTACACTACCGAAATTGAATAATACTCAAAAAAATTAAATTGAATAACTAAAATAAAGAATGATGAATAGAAAAAAATATTGATTATCCAACTCAAATAAAAACGTAAACTATTAATAATTTTCTACCTACTTTTTATTTTTGTAACAATTATATATTATAAATACCTTTTGTAAAAATTGATTGAAAACATGATTAAAAAAAAAATATCCAGACTAGAAGTGTGAGAAATCCATTGTATTACCCCATGTCATAATATTTTTCCCCTCGACTTGTTCACCGAGAATTTTCACACCCAACAATAAGTTGTGTCACAGCCCAAAGTCCCAGACAACTCGAGCTTTATTTTCATTCATCCAATACAATGCGGAAAAGACCAGGTGCTTTAATGAAAAATACTCTCAACTTATCTTAACGCCTATATATTATAATCCATTACAGACAACTGACGAATTCCTGGTTATTCGTAGTTCGCCTCTCTTTGTTATGGATTTAAATTAGTGCTTACTAAAAATACGTTCACCAGCGCCTAGAAGCTATCGTGTTTATTTTCATCTCGAAACTGCCACGTGTTTGAAAATCATGCTTGGGCCTCAATAAAAATTGTGATCCACCAGCGAAGTAGATCCTGACTCGCAGTATATACCTCAAGTTGCTGAATAAATGTCCCTCTAATTGAAAAACAAATAACCCAGATTATAACAGAGTGAAAAATTAAAAAATAAAGAAACCAATGATCTAGTCTTAAATTTTATACTGTATTGTCCTTGGTACGTCTGATACTCATAAATTTACACACCCAACTTTGTAATGAGTATTTGGAGGGAGCAGAGACGAGTGCAGCAAAGGGGAAAGTTTTTGGCTGTCGAGATTGTATATTTTTGGCGTTTGGCCGATTGCTAATATTAGATGGTTAAATTCTATGTATAGAATGACATTTATAGATGAAATTTCTACAAATATTATATGCACCTTTTTATCATCAAGCCTCGTGTGCTCTTACCACCCTGTCTGCTTGTTTACACCTGTTTGTTTTTTTTTAAATAAAATATTTGGTGTTCGGGGTACTCATTAACTCATCAGGGACTTGAAGAATGAAAAATACTTTGTTTAATGAGCAGCTAATCAGTGAGAGAAATAGAGGGACAAGTGTTGAGCCTCTGAGTCCTGATTATCACTGCAGCTAAGGTTTCCTGGATTTCCCAGGTAGATTTCTATATATCCTCGAAGAAGAGGCGCACCTAGTGATCAGTTGGGGTTAAATATAGAAATTTTGTGTTGGTGTTCTCGACTGGATCAGACTCCTCCGAGAACGTAATGCGCGTGGGTTCTGATCGTAAAAACACTCAGAAGGTCAAACAATCGTTTTTTTTTATATTGGTAATTTATAGGTTGACGATTTTTCCACCATTTTTCATGAGTACGGAATAAAATAGGATTGGAAATCATCGACCTCCCTTTTCTTGTTTATTTTTCATCTCGAAGGGGATTAATTTCAAATTCATTAGACAAGTGCTGGTATTGCTGTATTAGACATTTGCGTTTTCCTCGCAATCACAATGCGGAAGACAATGAAGATGCATAATCAATCTGGTGAACGTAAGCTGATTCCTCAGACATTTAATATCTCGAAAGACCACTCCAATTCAGTTAAAGTTCAAAAAATTCACTTGGGTGTTAGAAAATAATTACAAAATTCCAAAAATATATTCCCGAAGATATATTCCCGAAACCCAGAAATTTTAATAATGATAAAATCTCTAAAAGGCCATTTTTTTCATGTCAGATTAATCCAGAGTTTCCCATAAATATCCAAAAAAAACATGGAAAAAGTAAACACCTCGGTGATAACTCCTCAAACAAACGTTATTCCGTTTAAACATTTGGCAAGTGAACGCTTTGTCTTTGGAAAATTAATAATCCCAGAGAATTGAAGTGGAAAAATTTAATCTGGGAATTACATTGAACAGCCAAGTAACTTCACAAGAACATATAAACGATGTACAACAACAGGTGTTTCCGACATAGACGTCTCCCTGCGGTGTTTTAACGACCCACCAACAATGGGTTCGAACTATTATGTACCTGAGAACATCGACCTCACACCGAGTTTAATACACATGTATTTTTACCAATAAATGCATGTGAACAATGCAATATTATACATTACCCTCCCTCCACTCTCCGGTGGTTGGCATTTAACTGACCGATTGATTCCAAGAACCGAGAAACGATAATGACTTAATGATGATTGAACGATAACAATATCATTGTGTTCACTGCAATATGGAATAAACTCTGCAAAAATAAATGGCAATACATAACCTATCCCCCATCACCAACATCAACAACTCCACCCCCAAAACAACACGCTAATTAAAATCAAAATATTATCAAGACAAATTAATAACTCATTAAATTTTACCTCAATATCTAATCACCACCCTGGACTCGAGTAATTAATTAATTAAATCTAAAGATAATCCACTGATTGGAGACACCAGCTACGACTACTCAAGTCCTCACACACTGATTTATATGGGTTTCATGAGGATTATCATTTTTCATCGCCATCCAGTAACCAATTACCAATCCTCAATTAACCAATTTAACACTGAAATCGATAATAATGCTGAGTAAATTTGGGAATGTCAATTTAAACTCAAACTATCGTAGAACGTTGGGCACGAGTTGATGTAAACATTTGGTGTAGAAGTTCCATTGGTCTCCTCCATTTAAAAATAAAAAACCAGAAACTAGGCACAGCACTTTTTTTTAGTGTTTTTGTTTATTGATAATTGATGTGGAGTGAATGCGGGTTTATTCGTCGGTGAGGAAGAATGACCGATAACTGGTGTGGAGTCGTCTCTTTCTCGGAGATGCTTTCGCGCGTTCATGTCATCAGCGCCTCCACGTGGAATTTCTACTAAGTTTTTTTTGAGGGGGTGCAAGGGGGTGGTCTATTAATAGTTTTTGCTCTGGCTTTGTTGTGTCCATGCTTGTCTGACTCCACCATTCTTAATCCATATGCATAACACAAGTATATGACATTTATGAAAATTGTTCTTAACATTAAAAATATTTTTTTATGGTAATTGTTGTTGCTGTTGGGGATGTTGAGTTGTCTAGGAAATTGTTTGCTGTTGGATAGATCTGAGGAGATGTACCGTTTTGATAATTTGTTGTTATTATTTATTTATTTTATTATTGTTTTATTACGACTTTTATGGAAATTTTGATTCTATTTTTAATCTAATGTGAACGTGTTCTTATTTTAATTGGTGTAATTGTTATTGAAGATGATGGGTCTCTTGACAGATTGTTTATTGCATTTATTACTATTTAACCACGAAATTGCAGGATTGTAATAATTTTCCTGCGTTTTTCGAATTTTTCCGACAGATTAAAAACTAACCAATTAATTAATTCAATTGGTTTATTGAATTCGTTTATTTTACATTAAATTAAATATCAAATAATTCGTCCATGAAAAATCAATAAAAATTGAATTTTTCAGGTGAAATTTCGAGTGCAATTTTCCAATTGAATAATTCCGCAATTGCACTGACGGAGCAGTAATCATTGCTTTGTAATTACCGAATGTTTTAGTCGGGCAATGATACATATTTATCGCATAGCTATTCACTATTGGGAAGTGTAACACACAATTCCCAACGAAGGGAAATTTTCGAACCCACACCGACAGGATACATATCGTCATGTGTCTATTTTTATCTCATCGCTCGATATGAGGTACGAGCAATATTTTTAGTAACTCACCTACCCATCAGCCAGCACCTTCTGTTTTTTTTGCCCATCTCTCGATTCAATTCGGTATTCTTCAATTGAAATCAACACAGACGCATTTATAATTAAATATATGACAAACCTATCGATTAATTCCGTTGAATTGTATCGATCTGTATCGATTTATAATTTATAAATGCAAAATTCAAAGCCGTAAGTTGAGCGTAAAAATAACGGAATTCTTACCTTTCAATTATCTTCCAATTTTTCATATTATTTGTCAATAATAAAATCATTCTAAATAATATATAATAGATATAATATCCATTATATACATATAATATATTATATATATAATATATATAATAGAATGATTCTGAAGAATTATTTATAAAATTAACGGAAAAAAAAAATTAATGTTTTAAAGTTATCCATTTAAATTATCATTCAATGCCCATTTTTCTAATTTTAAATAATAACAAAATAAACATTGAACAATCATAAAAATTGATATACATTTTATATTTATAATTAATATATTTTTTATCGTTAATTTTATCAATCGTTTCCCAGACATTTGTAAAGAACACAATTGACAAGAGAAAAGATATCGACAATAACTCCTTAATATCAATCTAGTGATATATTCAGATGCTGGGGTACATGCAATTACGTGTATTTATATTCTACTCTATTTATATCCACGGGAGTTTATAACGCGTGCAATAACAATTGTTACATAATTTCCTGAAGCATTCACGTTTTAGGATGAATGTATCCGGCGATGAGCATCAATATTTCCCGAATACGCAACAGTTATTTCACTAAAACTCTAGACGTTATCGCTGATATTATCATGGACAATTTATTTATAACCATTGGTTGCGTCAGCAGAGATAATAATGGAAAAAATGGAAGATTAACCATGGAATATTGGAGTACTCTTCAATAAGAAAAGATAGCGGCGATTGAATTTCTTATCGCATCGAACGTTTTTATTTGTTGCTTTCCACAAATAGGACATTAACCACTTCCGGTATAAAAATTAACTACCAGTTGACTGGATAAATTACCGCGTCGGTTATTGCGTATTATAATTATTTTAAATATCGATCGAGGAGTGATAAATTGAATTTCAAAATATCTGCAAGAGCAACTAATTATCGTAACTGTCATGTTCCCAATAATTTATAAAAAACCGTCGATTTCAACTGAAAGGGAGCAGAACATTCTGCAATTTCATTTGGTGCTGAATGAAAAAGTTTTCTCCGAAAAACGAAAGGGGTGATTGAAAGAATGAAAAATTATTTGTAGAATATTGTCAAGACCTTGTTGGTGGTCCACAGGGTAATGAAATAATAGTCGTCCAGGAGAACAGGTTGTCCATCGACTTGAAGACTCAACTTAAAGCCCTTGAAGTCCAGTGTGATGGGGCATCTATTATTATCCACCTTTGTACACGCGTTGTACTACCACTGACTGGCAAGGGCGTGGGTAGAATGCTATAACAAGCTGAGCTTGGTTCGGGTGGATACTATTTATAGGATCAAGATTTTCGTGGGAGGAGTGGAGTAGTGAGGGTTGCCATATCTATTAATAACCCTCAAGTCCTCCCATCGAATCCCTCTCCGATCAACTGCTACCTATACGCTTTTTTTTCCTTCCTTTCTAAACTAGAGGTGACCTTTTCAAAAACATCAATGATCATTCATTGGACTAGGTTAGTGGTTCCACACCCTATCTCATTCCCAGTCACCTACTTCCACCCACTTCCACCCACTTCCACCCACTTCCACCCACTTTTACCCACTTTCACCCACTTCCATCCACTTCCACCTCCTTACACCCCCTTACACCCTTCCCCCCCGTACTAATAACGAATATATCATAAAATATTAAACTACTTCTCAAAATTTATTAATTCACTTGCACCCATACTCCAACGATTTCCCCAGATATATCTACCCAGTGAACCTCTCGGTGAGAATTTACTGTGAGGATTAAAGCAGCAGAGCCAAAGTGATCGATATAATTTATCATGAATGAAACTGAAAATTGTAAAATGACAAAATATATAATAAACGACTGAAAACCGATGAAACACTCGGTTGTGAGCGCCTGCGTCTGTTAATCCACCATCGACCCACAACCTTGACCTTTCAAATCAAAAAAACTCCAGAGTTGACCAACAAATCGGACTAATAGTTGAAAAAAAAGACATGTCACTCCTTCGTGCGCACCGAGACATAGAAATAAAACAGTTTCACCACTGATTGGAGAAAGTAATAATCAGAGATATTCCGTATCGATTATCCAGTTGGAAGTTGAGAATGAAAGCGGCAAAAACAACAAAAAGGCAAGTTGGAGGGTTAAAAATAGAAGCGGTCAATGCTGCCATGGGAACACCAAAGTTCAGTTGTACTCTTGCTTCCAAAAATATATCATTCAATATCAATCATTAAGGGCTGCTATAAATCAATCTTGTCACCTCCAGCAAAATTTAATGTAGTGGAATTATTAATTAGTTGATGATGAGTCGATGATGACTCGAGATCATTTCCTCCAACTATTGGAACTATTGGAACTATTGGAACTATTGGAACTATTGGAACTATTGGAACTATTGGAACTATTGGAACTATTGGAACTATTGGAACTA